GTTCCTGAACACGCGAATCCGACAGCGACCGCAGCCACGACCACACCGAATCGCCCGCTGGGGTGCCGCGAGGGGCGCCACGGGGCCGACCCTCGCGCGGGTGCGCGCGCGCCGAGGGCGCGGCGCCGCGCGGACCCCCCCGGCGCGCACCGAGCCAAAAGGCTCGAGCGGGCACGCGCGAGGAGGGGGTGTGCACGGAGAGCAAAGGGCCCACGGAGCTGAGCTTCCGAGGACCCTGGGGGCGGAGGGGTGGGAGGGGGGGGGGGAGGACCACGCTGGCGTCGAAGATCGGGAGGCGGAGGAGTGGCAGGACGAGGAGGAGGGGGACAGAGAGGAGGACGTCAGGGAGGAGAATACGTGGGTGGGGAGGAGGACGGAGGTGGGGAGGGGGAGGGGGATGAGGAGGAGGAGAAGGAGGATGAGGAGAAGGAGGAGGAGGAGGAGGAAGAAGAGGAGGACAAGGAGGAGGAGGGTTCTCCGTCTCTCTCCTCCCTCCTGTGTTCCGCTCGTCATCCTGCTGTTCCTGCTACTTGATTGCCATTCCCTTCCCTACCGGCAGGATGATCAATAGGTCACTCATCGGGCTGCAACTCTTCCCCCTCCTCCTCCTCCTCCTCCTCCTCCTCCTCCTCCTCCTCCTCCACTTCTTCCTCCTTCTCCTCCACCTTATCCATCTCCCTCTGAGTATTCTCCTCCTCCTCCTCCTTCTACTCATTATCCTCCTCTTTCCTGCCGTATTCATCTTCCTCGTCTCCTTCCTCACTCCCTCCGTCCTTCCTTCCCGCCCTGCTCATCCTGGTCCTCCTCCTGCTCCTCCTCTTTGTGGTCCTTCTTCTCCTCCTCTGTCACCGCCCCTCCTTCGTCCTTATCCCCAGCGCGAGCGCGAAGAGGGGGACAGCACCGACGACGACATCGGCGTCGACGGCGACAAGACGGGCGACGACGTCGACGACCACGACGCCCACGGCCGCAACCACGGCGATGGCGACGGCCGCCTCGAGGCCGCTGCGCACGACGGGACGCCGCCCCGTCCGCGGCGCCGCCGCCGCCGCCGCGGGCGGCGAGGCGCTCCGGCCTGCCGGCAGCGGCGGCGGCGGCGGAGACGGCGTCGACAGCGGCGGCGCGGGCGTCAGCCACGGCGGTGGTGATGGTGACCGCGGCGGAGGTGACCGCGGCGGCGTCGGCGCCGGCGGCAACAAGGGCCGCGGCGAGGGCGGCGGCGGCAAGGGCGGCTGGCGGCGGGTCGGCGCCTCCAGGGCAGCGGGTGCTGGCGGGGACGGCACCGGCGACAAGCGGCGGCGGCGGCGCGACGACGATGCCTGCGGCGGCGGCCCAGCGGTCGCCGGTCGTCATTGGTCGGTGGGTCCTTGCGCCGTCGCCGACGACGTCGCCGATGTTTGGCGTCGTCGCCGTCGTTGCCGCAGTCGCCGCTGTCATGGCACCCTCGTCGTCGCCATCGCCAGCGGTTCGAAGACGGGGCCCTGAGGGGCACGACGAGGGGCCTCAGATAGTACAAGGTCAACCTGGGACATATTCCCTTCCTACATCCCTCAGTGAAGGGCAACATCCGGGGAAGGCCAGCTCGAGGGGGGGCAGATCGACCTGGAAGCGGAGAAACGCCTCCGATAGACCCGCGACGGGCCCCCGACAGCGAATCTGCACGCTCCTGGGCGGGGTCGGGCTATCGGGCCGCTATCGGCGATGCATGGGCGATTGGGCATCCATGCGCACTCCCTGAACCCCCACGTACCCCTGAATGTTGCCCCTGACTCAGGGCCCCATCCCTGAGCCTCCGACATCGGTCGTCGCCACCACTGAAAGTCGCTGCCGCCGATATTGCCAGCCTCGCGGCCATTGCTGCGCCGCCGTCGCCGTCGCCGTCGCCGCCGCCGTCGCCGTCGCCCTCGCCGTCGCCGTCGCCGTCGCCGCCGTCGTCGTCGTCGTCGTCGTCGTCGTCGTCGTCGTCGTCGTCGTCGTCGTCGTCGTCGTCGTCGTCGTCGTCGTCGTCGTCGTCGTCGTCGTCGTCGTCGTCGTCGTCGTCGTCGTCCTCTTCATTGCTACCGTCGTCCCGGCCGCCGCTGCTGTCGGCCTTGCCATTGCTGCCGTTGCCGTCGCCGCCGCTGCCGCTCGGCATCGCCGCCGCTGCCGAACGCCGCCACCGCCGCCGCCGCCGCCGCCGAACGCCGCCAGCGGGCGAGCGCCGCCGCACCGAGCGCCGCCGCCGCCGCCCGCCCCGAGGGCGGCGGCGCGCCCGTGGCCCTGCCGGGGTGCCAGGCCGCCCGCGCCGGCGCGGGGTGCGCGTCGCCGCCCGCCCTCGCCGCGGCAGAGGCCGCGGCGGCCTCTCGGCCGCCGCCGACGTCGGCGGCGACGTCGGCGGCGGCGTGGACGACGACGACGGCGACGACGACGACGGCGGCGACGGCGACGACTGAGATGGCAACGGCGACGGCGACCCCGCATCGGCGGCGCGGCTGACGTTGGCGGCGACGGAGACGACGACGAGGACGACGACCACGACGACGACCACGACGACGACGACGACGACGACGACGACGACAATGACGACGACTACGATCGCGGCGGCGGCGGCAGCAGTGGCGGCGGCGGCGACGGAGGCGGTGGCGGTTGCGGTGGCAGGAGCCCTCCTAGTTGCCTATTTACTCTTCCCAACCTCCTGCGAAAGCCTACCTTTCGTCCGAAACCATTTCAACCAGACGAAGTCTATCCAGACGAAATCGTCGGGTCAACTTCTTCTGGACGAACTCATCCGAAGACCAATTCATCCAAAGACGCGTTCGTCCAGAGATGAGATCATCCGCAAACAAATTAATTCATCGGGGCGAGAATATCTGGACAACCTCATCTGGACGAATTCGTCCAGAGAACGTTATTCGGATGATCTCGTTGCGTAAGGAACCGCTCAGGATGAATTGGTCGTCCTCCCAGACCCCCTCCATCTACACCACCAACTCTCTGCTTCTTGCCATGTCTCTTCCTACATCTTCCTACTTCCTCTACTTTTCTTTCTCCTTCTCCTGCCGCTGCTCCTACCTCGTTATTGTTCTTCTCTCCTTCGCCCTCATTCTGTCTCCCATTTCCCCTCCTACAATATCGTTCCTCCTTCCTCGACATTCTCCTCCCTCCACCTCTTACCTTTTCAGATTCCGCCTCATCCTCATCCGTCTCCACCCTTAACTGCTGCACATCAAAGGTGATGGACAGCAGTAGTGCTGGTAGTAGACAAAGGGGATGAGGGGAGGCAGCAGGGGATATGCCAGGAAGGCCCCTCCCCGAACAACCTCCTCCTCGCTTCACCGCATCCCTCCTCCTCCTTCTACCCCCCGCCCTGCGGTGGTCCTCCGCCTCCCTCCTATGTCCTGTTATCCCTCGTGTCCTCCCTCACCTTTCCCAGTTCCTCTTACCCGCACGTTCCATCCGCCTCCTCGTAATCCTCGTCAGCATCACCACATTCATCATCATCAGTAGCATCAGCATCATCATCATCAGCCTCATTGATCATCATCATAATCAGCATCAGCATCAGCATCATCAGCATCAGCATTGTCGTCGTCGTCATACTCATCCCCATCCTCATCCTCATCCACATCCTCCTCCTCCTCCTCATCATCATCATCCATCATCAGTAGCAGCATCATCACCGTTTCCATCAGCAACAACAGCGGCAACAACACCGCCAAGGTCAGTAATCACCACCAATATCACCATCGTCACCACCACCATCACACCATCACCACCATCAGTATAACACACCTAGAGATCACCAACATCATCATAGTCACAATCGCCATCATCAGCGACCTGTTCCTCCTCGACATCCTCTTCTTCTTCATCAGCGTCACGATCAGAATCACCAGCACCATCATACTCGTGATAACCAGCATCATCGTCATCATCATCATCAGCATCATCATCATCATCATCATCGTCGCAATCGTCACCGTCGCCGTCATCGTCATCAGCATCATCATCACCATCATCATTATCATCGTCGTCATCATCATCACTATCATCATCATAAACATCGTGTTCAACATCATAATTGTCGTCATCATCATCAGCACCCGTATGATCGTCCCCGTCGTCGTCCTCCTCCTCATCATCATTACCATCACCACCACCATCACCATCACCATCATTATCATCACCAACATCACCATCATCATCAAGATCATCATCGGTGTTGTCATCGTCGTCATCGTCATCGTCGTCATCGTCGTCATTGTCATCATTACCGTCAACAACCATAATCATCATCACCACCACCATCAACATCATCATGAACATCATCATCATCACCATCATCATCAGCAGCATCATCATCCTCATCATCGTCCTCCTCCCCCTTCTCATCACCATCACCACTACCACTACCAATACCATAACCATCATCAGCAACAGCAGCCACCATCAGCATCACCACGACCACCACAAGCATCATCATCACCAACACCACCATCATCATCATCATCATCATCATCATCATCATCATCATCATCGTCATCAGTCGCCATCGTCATCATCCCAAACATCAGCAGCAACCATCACCATCACCACCACCACCATCACCAGTAGCAGCCATCATCATAGGGTTCGTCATCAGCATCTTCATCATCGCCATCAGCATCACCATCACCCCCTTCCATGTAAACCCTCCTATGTGTCTTCTCTCTCCTGAGCATGCTCTCCCCTCCTCCTCCTCTATATCCTCCCCATCCTCCGTCCCCCGAGAAAGACGACGAAGACGACGCTGTCAACAACAGCGACGACGACGACGACGACGGCGACGACGACGACGAAACGATGCCGACGACGGACGACGACGCCGCCGGACGACGACAACGACGTCGAACGACGCCTGCGACGACAACCAAAGCCACTGGCGGCGACGACGAAACGCCGACGATGATGCGCCGATGATGCCGACGACGAGGACGACGTCGGCGCCGCCGCCGCCGACGACGAAGACGGAGTATGGTCGGGGCCTCGGCCTCTGAGGCGGCAGCCGCCGCGGCCGAGGCTGCCTCGGAGGCCGCCGCCGCCGCGGCCTCCGCGGCGCCTCGGCAGGAGGCGGCCTCTGCCGCCGCCTCGCGTGCGGCGGCGGCGGCGGCGGCGTCAATAGCGGCGAGCGGTCGGTATGGTCGACGGCGGCGGCGGCGGCGGCGAAGGCGGCGACGACGACGACGGTGACGGCGACGGCGACGGCGACGGCGACGGCGACGGCGACGGCGACGGCGACGACGACGGCGACGACGGCGACGGCGACGACGACGGCGACGGCGACGGCGACGACGACGGCGACGGCGACGACGACGACGGTGACGGGGTGATGGGCCGGCGCGCGCTCCTCTCTGGACCCTTCTGCGCCGATGGGCGCTGCGAGCGTGGCCGCGGCGCCGAAGAGTGTGGGGGCGGTAAGGATGAGGTGGAGCGACCCTTTTAAACTTCCGGGCGTGGTCTGGCATGGATTTCGGGCAAGGGTACCGACGAATAACGTACCATCACGAATACACCCACACCCACACACGGATCACACACACGACACACAAACACCACACAGAACACAGGTCGGGCAATTGGCACCTGGCCACTGGCAGCTCGCTCAGCGTGCGCGTCGCCGTCGAGGCGAAGCGGAGGGGGCGCCGAGGCGCCCACTCATCAGGACTGGGCTAGGTGAGCAGATGTGAAGCAAATATGGAGGCACAGGAGGAGGAGGAGGAGGAGGAGGAGGAGAGAGGAGGAGGAAAAGGCGAGGGGGGAGGATGAGGAAGAGGAGGAGGAGGAGGGAAAGGAGGAGGAAGGAGGAGAAAGAGGAGAACGAATCACGAGGAGGAGGAGGAAGCAGGAGGAGGAGGAGGGCCGCGGCATAGACGCGCCACATCTATCCGCGGCGGGCCAGCACGGAGGAGGAGGAGGAGAAGAGGGGGGACGAGGAGCTATGGAGCTATGGGTACGGCGACAGTGTCGGTTACTCTGAAGCAGCTAAACCCCTGCTGCTTCCTGCCGCGACCTCTTGGCACGTTCTGCTTGCTGAGAACCTTTGGCCAAATGCCGCGGCTTATGTTGGATAAATAGTCATGACGACTACCTGACACAACTTTGGCACAATCCTCCGCTACCTTACACAACTGTTGCGAAACATAACACCCGCACGAAGGACAATACCAAAGCTGGAGACCCGTGTGATACAAGACATTGCGTGTGTCATGCACGTATCCCCCGAGATGTGCACTCTACGCCCTGGAGGAGGCCTCAAAAGGGTCCCGTCTACATTGATTAAGCAGACGCACGGCGTGAGAATCCAAGACGCCCGAGTTGCAAGAGACGCCGACCCACGACACCTGGTGCAGCCCTTAGAATTTGCAAGACGATGTTCACTAGAAAACGTTGCGCACACACTGGCCGCTGGGGGCTGCTCTACAGTCTGAGCCTTCCTGCGTTTACGACCCAACCGCAGGCACTCCGACTCTTCGCCAAGGGTGCTCTGGAGGATACGCATGCGAGCTAACACGGCCACATGTTCATACTGTATTATGCGTGCACGCTCATGCTCAGGGAGGCGGGCCAGTCTTGCCCCCTCTGCCGCGAGCTCGTCTGCAATTGTGTTCCCATGGACAAGGGGCCTCGGCGCTCGGCGCCTTACGACGTCCTCGGCTGTGAGATGCGAATGGGTAAAGAAGACCGAACAAGCGAGCAGTCCTCTCCGTTCGACCTCGCGCCCGACCTCCCACCAGAGGTCAGCGTCAGGTCCTGCAAGACGAACCCACCTTCTTCCAAACCAGCCGTTGGAAACATTGGCGCCATCTGTAATGCATATAAGTCGGCCTTCCGACCGCTGCAGGCTTGTGAGAAGACAGCAGAGCTCCCCTCGCGCGACGGTCTGACGTCGTCCAGGAAGGGGGCTCCACATGACAACAGAGATTTGCAGGGGCTCACACAGTTGGGTTAAAGAAGCAATCCCAAGACCAACCCTGCGGAGCTTGGGGTGGTGGGTGTCCTCGACCCCACTCGCGTCCCCGAAGACAAAGAAAGGCTCACTGGGGGTCAGGGAGAAGGAGGAGCGGAGGAGGGAGATTATGTGAGGGGCACCGGGAAGGGGGGCGAAAGGGAGTGCCATGGGGGATCGGGGGCGCTTAGGAAGGGGTCAGCGAGGAGGGTAGGGGGGGACAGGAAGAGCGGTGGTCCCTCCTCCTCCTCCTCCTCCTCCTCCTCCTCCTCATCCCCCTCCTCCTCCTCCTCCGCCTCCTCAGTCCTCCGCGTAGTGAAGATAAGACCTGTGAGGACTTGTCGGGGGGGGACTTGGAACGTGCGAGGGTATGGGAGCATCGCTGGTACAAATTGGGTGTACTCAGGTCCTCCTCCTCCTCCTCCCACCTTTGCTCATATTCCCTCCTCGGTGTCCTCCTCCTTTTTACTCTTCCAGTACTACTCATCCTTTTGCGCTTGACCAAATTTGACTAGCATTATAGCGCAGCGCCTCCTCCGCGTCCTCCTTCTTCTTCTCCACCACCTCCTCCTCATGATAATCACATTCTGAATCATCACCATCATCAGCATCGTCATCGTCATCGTCGTCATCCACTTCATCAAATCTCGCCTTGTTTTTATCTTCGTCAACCTCTCCCTCCTCCCCCTCATCCTACTCTGCCTACTTATCATTATTCCTTATCCTCATGCCTCGTAATTCCCCCCATGAGCAGGAAAGAGAGGAGGGCGAGAAGGAAAACATAGCTTGGACATCCCCTTCTCTCCGCAACTCGCAAGCCCAAGACGAGGGACACGAACGACGACGAAGACATCGACGCGACGACACCGTCGACGTGGTCCACGCCGACCGCGACCCGGGCGACGACACCCATGACGAAGGCAACGACGACGTCGACGACGCCTTTGCAGCCGGCGACGGCGGGCGACGCTGGCGGCGCAGCCGGCGCCGCCGACGACGATCGGCGACGAGCGGCGAGGACGGCGACGACGACGACCACGACGACCTGCGACGAGCAGCGGCGAGCGGCGGCGAGCAGCCGAGCTTGACTGGAGAGGACACGAGGCCCTTCCGAGGGCCACACTTCCCCAGGAACGCAGAGGACACGAACCGCGAGGCACAAGACACAAAGGCACCCTTGAGTTGGCAGGGTCGACCTGCCACATAATTGAATTCGCCTGTGCGACAAGCGACAACTGGCGGCGACAGAGGCGACCGGCAACGAGCGACGGTCGCCAAGCGGCGAGCGACGGCGGCGCGGCCTCGCGCGCTGCGTGCGCGGAGATCCGCGGGCTATCGTGGTCGTGGCGCGGCTCGCCGGAGGACGCGCGCAGCTCGGCGAGCTGCGGCGCGGCGGCGTCGTCGTCGCCCACGTCATCGCCGTCGTAGTAGCCGTCGCTCGCCGTCGCCGTCGTAGTCGCCGTCGCCGTCGGCGACGGCGCCGTCGCGGTCGCGGGCGTGACGGTCGACGTCGCGCCTGGCGACGGCGTGATCATCTCACCGTGGAGATCGCGGCCGCGGTCGTGACCCCGTCCCCCCCCCTGGTCATCCTCACTCCTGAGTCCTCACTCCACGCTCACTCACTCGCTCCTCACTTCTCCTCAACCTTTTTCTCCTCCTTCTCCTCCTCCTCCTCGTGCTTCATCGCTCTTCCTTCTAAGAAACTCCCCCTATCGCACCACCCGATGTGACGCTAGAGCGGGCCGGGCGTTTTCGCCTGAGACTTCCTCTCCAAACTCCTCACTCATCGCTGGCACCCTCCTCACTCCTGCGCCTTCCCCTCCTTGTCCACATCCCCACGATCCTCGAGCTGGCGGACGCTCACGTCTGCTTCGGTTACCGTAACATCCCAGCAGGAGTCCTGCTTGTCATACATATCTCAATCAGGCCGCTCCTGAGGCGGCTGTCCACCGCGTTTCTCCTCCAACTCATCATCGTCATCATCATCACAGTCACCATTTCAATCAGCGCTGTCATCATCATCATCATCATCATCATCATCATCATCATCATCATCATCATCATCATCATCATCATCGTCATCATCGTCGTCATCATCATCATCAACACCACCACCACCACGATCATCATCATCATCATCATCATCATCATCATCATCATCCACATCGTCATAATCGTCATCGTCATCGTCATCATTATCATCATCATTATCATCATCATAATCATAATCATCATCATCATCATCATTATCATCATCCTTATCATCATCATTAACAACAGCATCATGCTCAGCATCATCATGAGCAGCATCAGCATCAACATCATCATCAGCACCATTATCCACCTTCTCCTCCTCATCATCAGCATCAGCAGCATCATCATCGTCATGACAGTCATCATCATGATCATCAGCATCATAGCATCATCATCAGCAGCATCAGCCTCAGCCTCATCATCATCATCATCATCGTCGTCGTCACCATCGTCATCATCAGCAGCATCAGCATCATCGTCATCACCATCCTCGTCAGAAGCATCATGATCATCATCGTCATCGTGAGCATCAGCGTCATGAACATCACCATCATCATCATCATAATCATCGTCGTCAACGACAGCGTCATCATGATTAACAGTATCGCCATCATCAAGAATCATCAACGTGCTCCACTTCACAATCGGCACCAACATCATCGTCATAATCGTAATCGTAATCGTCAGCAATAGCATCAGCATCATCATCGTCATCGTCCTCGTCATCGCTATCGCTATTGCCATCGCCGTCTTCATAATAATCAGCATCAGCAGCATCAGCATCGTCATCAGCAACATCATGATCACCATCCTCATCATCGTCATCATTACCATCATCAACACCATCATCATCATCATCATCATCATCATCATCACCACCATCACAACGAGAACCACAACAACCACCAGCAGCACAATCACCATCAAGATATACACCGCCATCACGTTCATATCAATCGACGTCGTCGTCATAACCGTCGCCATCGACAACGATATCACCGTCGTCATCATGAGCATCACCATCGTCATCATCATAAGCATCGACATCAGCATCGTCGTCGTCAGCATCGTCATCGTCGTTATCATCATCATCATCATCATCATCATCATCATCATCATCATCATAATCAGCAGCAGCAGCATCATCATAATCAGCATCAGCATCAGCATCATCATCCTCATCAGCAGCAACATCAGCAGCAGCAATTACCACCACATTCATCACCATCATCAACACCACCCTCCTCCTCCTCCTCCTCCTCCTCCTCCTCCTCCTCCTCGTCATCATGCCTATCTCCAGGATGAGGGGAACGATGGTGGCCTAGTGAAAGGAGGCGGCAGGGATGCCTCCTCGCCTCCTCCCTGTCCCCCATCTTATAAAACTCTTCATTCTCCACCTCGTCCCTTTCTTCCTTCTCCCCCTCTTCCTCCTCCTCTGGAAGGCTATCCCTGTTTGTCGACTGGAAGCGACGCTTTCAGGTCCCCGTGCTGTCCAAGTTCGTCGACACCCCAAAAGAATCCGCCGAGCCTGTCGGCGTGTGGAAGAGGCTGTTCCGTTTGACTCGTCTTCGTCGACGTCGTCGCCGTCGCCGTCGCCGCTTCCTCTCTTTCCCTGGGCCCGTCGCCGCTCTCCCCTTTGCCTGGGCCCTCCTCCTCAAGCGCGCCAGCCACAACGAAATTATTGAGCAACGTCGTAATCGAGTCGAAGGGAAGCCCCTTCCTTTTGATTCCTTCCCCGCCCCCAGGGGAGGGGGGTCCTGTGGGATGGTCCCGGGGGGTGGTCCTGGGGGTGGTGGGTCCTGGGTCAGAATAGCACCCTTCCCAGGGGGGGGCCCGGGGCCAAAAAAGCCCCAAGACGAGCCAAGAGTGCCCCAAGAGGCCCCCAATAAGGTCCGAGAGGACCCCGAATCGTCGAACGATCGGTCCAAGAGGACCCCGAATCGCCGAACGATCGGTGCGCACGGCGCAGGAAGGCTAGAAGACGCCCCAAGAGGCCTCGAAGAGCACTCCCAAGAGAGCCCCAAGAGGCAAAACTCGTTAAGTTCCCTTACTTACGTGTTTCAATCATTTGGCGTTCTCGCCTTCTCAGCTTGCCGACGCTCCAAAACGGCCTGAGAGGCTCCAACGGTCGCCCCAAGAGGCCTCCAAGAGGGTGCCGAAACGGGCCAAAGAGGGCCCGATGACGGCCCAAGTCGCCTGCAAGACAGCCCAAGTGGCCCCCGAAAGGGATCCGAGAGGGTGCCCAGACAGGGGAACCAAAATGGGCATTTCGAGCCCTCGGCCCCGAGAGGCCCCCAAGAGGCGCCCAGGAGGCTCTAAGAGGCCTCCAAGAGGCCCCTGGGAAGCCTTCAGAGGCTCCCAAGAGGCTCCCAAGAGGCCTCCAAATGCTCCCAATGGGCCCCCAAAACTGCCCCCCAGAGGCCTCCGAGAGCGTTCCGAAGAGACCCCAAACAGAATCCCTGAGGACTCTTACCCACGTCAGCGTCGTCGTCGTCGCCATCGTCGTCGTCGTCGTCGTCGTCGTCGTCGTCGTCGTCGTCGTCGTCGTCGTCGTCGTCGGCACCGGCCATAAGGCCTTCGCAATGGGCCGGTCATAAAGATCCAGAGAATGAGCAAAGAATGGCTGCCCTCCTTCACGGAGTGGAGGATCAAGCAAGCTGGAAACTCGATTGTCTAACTTGACTGCCTTGCCCTGGGTTTGGCCCTCCAACCTTTCCGAGGCGCTGTCTTATCACATCTTGTCATCCTCCTCCTCCAGATCCTTCTCCTCATCCTCCCAATCCCCTTCTTTCTCCTGCTCCTCCACCTCCTCCCTGTCCTCCTCCTTCTCCTCCCATACCCTCCTCCTCCTCCTCCTCCTCCTCCTCCTCCTCCACCTCCTTCCTATCCTCCTCCTTGTTCTCCTCCTCCTCTTCCTCCTCGCGCTCCTCTGCCTCGCCCTCCTCGCCCTCGCCCTCGACAGCCGTCCTCCTCAGCCTTGCGATTGCGACCTCCAGCGCGGTGCGGGCCTCCATGAGTGCCACCGAAAAGCCCTCACGCAGGCGGGCCACCTCTCGGGGGGAGGGGGGAGAGAACGAACGAGCGAAAGGACAGCGCTGCGCACGAGAGTACAGGACTCGCGGAGGCCAGGCGGGTGAGGCCGTGGCCTCTGCATTCTGCTATCTACTGTGTCGCGCGAGACAATCCAGAAATTTATCTAACCCCCGTCATGCCCGCCCTTCCCTCCATGCTGTCCCCTCGCGCGCTCCTTGGTTCCTGGCCCCCTCATACCCTCCCTTCCTTGCCGTCCCCTTCTGCCCTTCCTTCCCCCCCAATCCTTCTCCTCCATCATCCCTCCTCCTCCCCCCTCCTTTCCTCCCCCTTTCCTCCCACCACATTGCCCCGGCAGACGCGGATGAGCGAGCGGGCGACGCCGCCGCCGCCGACGACGACGACGACGAAGACACCACGACCAAGGCGGCGACAGCGACGAACAGGGCAAACAACTCCGAGGACGACGACGACGACAAAAAACTGAGCGATGCCTAACTACGACACCGACGACCACGACCACGACCACGACAACGAAATCGACAACGAAGACGACGATCCCGACGACGACCACGAAGACGACCACCACGACGACGACGACGACGACGACGACGACGACGACGACGACGGCGACGGCGACGACGAGGACGAGGACGACGGCGACGACGAAAATGACGAAATTACAGAAACGATGACGAACACGACGACGGCCAACGACGACGACCACGACCACGACGACGACGACGGCGACTTTGCCATCGACATCGACGCCGACGTCGACGACGACGTCGGCGACGGCGACGGCGACGCCGACGGCGACGACGACGCGCCGACGGTGGCGCCCAGCGGGGGCGGCGACGCCGACGCGGGCGACGACCACGCCGATGCCGGCGCCGACGACGAACGGCCACGCCCGCGCCGAACCGAACCCGCCGACGAGGAGGCGGCCACATCGGCTCCGCTGGCCCCCCCGGCTCGGAGGAAGATGCAGAGGAGGAAGAGGAGGAGGAGGAGGAGGAGGAGGAGGAGGAGGAGGAGGAGGAGAGAGGAGGAGGAGGAGGAGGAGGAGAGAGGAGAGAGGAGAGAGGAGGAGGAGGAGGAGGAGGAGGAGCTATTCCAGCTATTTCGCACCTCGCACCCCGCGAGCTGCGCAGCGGCACCGCCGCGCGCGCCGCCCTCGCCGCGGCGGCCTGCACTCTGGAGGTCGCGGCCCTGGGGCCCACCTCCCCTCCACTCGCGTCTTTTGGGGGCCCCCAAACGGGGTGGTGACCACACCGTGCGGTGAGTCGGTGGGGATTCGGGGTCACCGCACGGTTTTGGGACTCGGGTCGTTCTCTGAGGATGTCTCGGGCGACAGGGGCATCCGAGGTCCCAAAACCGTGCGTTGACGGACCGTGCGGTGAGGTCTTGGGGGATTTCGAGGTCACCGCACGGTCTGTCACCGCACCGTTTTTGGACCTCAAAGTCTTGCGGAGGCGAGTGGAGCACCGGCGACGAGCGCGCCCTTCGCGGCGTCCACGATCCGCCCCCGAGATCCTCGGCGCCCCGCGCGGCGCCCTCGGGGCGTGAGCCCCGAACACCCCGCGCGACGTGCCTTCCAGGGGTGGCGGCTGTGACTGGACCCGTCCCAGTAGTCTCGTCGTGCTTGATATCGTGGTGCTGCTGCTCGTCGTGCTGGTTACAGTTTTGCTGCTGGCCGTCGTGCACTGTTGGCCCTCGTCCACGCGGCAGCTGGTACTCGTCGTTGTTGTGGTCCTGCTGGTGCTGGGTCTGCTGCTTTTGGTGGTGGCTGCCGTGGTTGCTAACTTTACCGCTGGCTGCGGCGAGGAGGCGCTGCGTCCAGCGTTTCCGTCGGTCTTCTGCACTCTCTGCCATGTCGGTCTCCCGTTGTTCGTTCTGATCGTGCTTGTGAGGGTCGTTTGGTCGCCCACGGCGTCGATGTTCTATGCGCGTGCCCATGGCCTGCGTCGGCGGCGCCCCGCTCGACGGCGGGGCTGCATGATCGTCGTCTTCGGCGGCTCGCGCACTAGAGGTCGCGGCCCTGGAGCCCACCTCCTCTCCACTCGCGCCTTGCGGAGGCGAGTGGAGCATGGGTGTCGAGCGTGCTCTTCGCGGTGCTCTCATTCCGCCCCCGAGACCCCGGGCGCCCCGCGCGGCGCCCTCGGGGCGCAGGCCCCGAGCACCCCGTGCGACATGCCTTCCAAGGGTGGCGGCTGTAACTGATCCACTCATCCCAAGTGTCTCGTTTTGCTTGATAATCAGGTGCTGCTGCTCGTCGCGCTGGTCATATGCGCGCTGCTGGCCGTCGTGCACTTCCGGCCTTCGTCCACGCGGCAGCTGGTGATTGTCGTTGTTATGGTCCTGCTGGTTCTGTGCTTGCTGCTTCTGAAGGTGGCCGTCGCGGCGCTGCTGGTCAGCGCGCTTATCTTCTTTCCCGCTGGCTGCGGAAAGGAGGCGCTGCGTCCAGCATCTCCGTCGGTCTTCTGCACTCTCTGCTGCGTCGGTCTTCTGAGGCTCGTTGTGTTTGTGGTGCTGGTCGATGTCGATTGGTCGCTCTTGTAGTCGGTGATCTATCTGCGTGTCCATACTCTGCGTCGGCGGCGCCCCGCTTGCCGCCGGGGCTGCATGATCGTCGTCTGCATGGTCGGATTGTGGTTCGTCTTACTGCTGGATCGTGGCGTCGCTGCTCGTCGTCACGTCGTCTCCGCCTGCATGTGCTATCTCGTTCCACTGCTTCAGTTTGCAATGTAGGCTTCTGTATGTTGGCGCACCCTTGCACTCTGCTTGCATATTCTGGGATATGTATCCCGTCGCAGTCGTGCCAGATGCCTGGCAATGCCATCCCTTTTCCCTGCTAAAGTATTGTAATCGGCGGGTCGGGCGGGCTGCGCCGCCGTGGATCTGCAGCTCTGCCCCCTGGCGGGGCGGTGGCCCCCCAGAACCTTCCTGGAACCAAGTCGTGGAGTTCGCGAGCGTTGCACTTACTCCCACACGTTGTTGGCAGCAGCTGCACTTCCAACCCTTCCCGCGTCGAAGCCGTCGTAGCTGGCGCGTCGCGGGCGGCCGGCGTCGGACGCGCTCGGGCGGCCCATCGGCGAAGTAGTCGGCTTTCTTCTTATGTTGGGCTCTTCCTGCGCGCTTCTGGAGTCAACTCTGGGCTTTGATGTCGCGGTCTTCTGCTGGGCGTCGCTCCGGGAGTTGCTGCGTTGCTGTCGTGATCCGTCTCCTCACTAAGGCTGCCATCGCATCCACCCAGTTGTAGCACTGCATTTTTGCGTCGTCGATGTGGTGCTGCGCTGCTGCGCTGTCCGCGAACTCGTCTGTTCGTGCGTTCCCGTGCCATGCGTGTCTCGGGTATCCCTTCGCCCCTGCGTCTTCCCAGCTGAGGTAGCTGTTGATGTGGTTGACGTGTACCTCTTCCGCTGGGCCGCGCAATTGTAGTTCGCATCCCATCTTCCTCCACAGGTCGCCGTTGGCCCCCGCTTCTACTAATCTTTCAGAGCGTCGGGCTGCCCAGCCTTTGAGGGCGATTTCGCTGTCGGCCCAGAAGAATAGTGGCCCTGCTGCGCTCCGTAGGCAGTCTAGTAACGCCCAGTATTATGCTCTGTTGTAGGTTTGCCGTCGGCCTGGGAGTGGCCCATGCCTGCCCGCTGCGATGCCCATGTCGCCCCCGCCCAGTCGCGCCTAGCGCAGCCGCGACATCTGCACCTCCAGTCGGCGCTGCGCTTGCCTCCTGAGCCGCCGCCGTAAGCCACAATCGGTGAGCCGTCGCTGGTGAGTGTCGCCGATGCAGTCGGCCTCCTCTGCCGCGTCACATTCTGGCGGCACCGCCCATGCCCGAGGGGTGACGCCGCGGAGCCAGAACACGGGCGCGTCGACGTGTCCTGCCTCTGCTTGTCCTTTCAGTTGGTTAGGTCTTGTTGAAGGTGTCACAGTCATCTCGTGCGTCGCAGTGCTGCCAAATGCTATGTGGCAGCCTGTTTCTTCGGCTCCGCGTTCGCAGTTGTCGACGCAGTTCACGAAGCACGCTCGCTGTCTGGCTCTGGGCCCGGCCCCTGCGCATGAAGCAAGTAACAGCGCACCGCGCTCTCTAAAGTTACCGCGTTCCATTAACCACTCTAGGTGCCGTCGTAGGCCTGCGGCACCAGCTCCGCGCTCTTCCAGGCCTCTCCCGTCGCGGTGCTGCGCTGCGGTCTTCCAGAGCTGGTGGGCCACATCTGCCATGAGCGCGTCTAAGATGTCTGCCGGGTCACCCTGCTCGATGCCATCTGGGTACCTCCATCTGTTTTTGTGCCTGTCGATCCAAGTCTCGGGCCCGCGAGAGTCCCAAACGATCTCCCAAGGCGTCAGGATGATGGCGGCGACGGGACCTCTGTTCTTCTTCAATCGTTGCTGGGCCGGTATCTTCAGGAGTCGGAAGCAGATTCTAGGCCATGCCCGACGGATTTGCGCACGGAGGTCTGCACTGCGTCCCCAGCAGTTGAACCAGTTGGCGAACGAAGTCTTCACGATGGCGTAGGCGGGGTCGGCGCCTTCCACTGCCAGTTGGGTGGCAGGGCAGCGTCCTGGCCATGGGGTCCGTAGGGCTTGTGCGTATCGACGTCGTGCTTGTTGGAGCGCATGAGGTGCCATGCTGTGGAAAGCTGGTCCGTATCGCAGTGCTGCCATACTGCCTTGCTGGGCGACCCCAGCTCTGCGCCGCACTCGTAGTCGCCGTAATTTCCAACCCACTGCCGATAGACGTTTCTGTACACCCATCCATCTTATGCTGTGTGTCGCCCTCTTGGTGGAGCCTCTTCGTGCTGATCGGTCTGCGCCTAGGTCTCTGCCCTCGCTGGTGATATATTTGTCGATGCCGCGTTGCTGCAAGAGTCGTTGCATATCCTTGGTGTCCTGGTGGTTCGTTGACATACGTGTCGTCTTACCGGCTAGCTGGAGACATTGCTCACGGAGGCACAAGTACAGCTGGTGGGTTGCTGTGACTGTGACTGGGATCGCTTGCTCTCTGCTGCCTACAATGCTGATGCTTATGTCGTCGAACCATGCACGTGGGACTGGTCTGGGTAGGTCAGTGGTGCCCGTTAACTTCGTCATCGCCGCGTAGAACACCGTCTTTGCCACGTTGTTGGACTGTATCGACCCTGCCAGTATTAAACGGTCTGCATACAGGGGTAACGAGTATGCTCCTTGGCTGCGCAATACGATCGTCAATGAGTGTTGCAGCATCATGAGGTATAGTGGTCTCGCTGGGAAGTTGAGCTGGAGGGCTGCTGGGATCACTTTGTCGATGCGGAGGCTGTCGTAGAACTACTCGATGCCGGCCAGCAGCACTGATTCCCAAATGTTCACGGCGTCGGCGCATTCGTCAGTAATGAAGCGACGTAGAGCTTCTCGTAGGCAGCTGTTGCCCTCGATCGCCGAGTCCCATTCACGTTCGTGTTGTCGTGCCCATCGCCGCACTCGTTGTCGGTGGAGTAGCTCCCAACAACGTACCAGCTGAGGTAGGAGTGCTAGGGCTCTGTCACCTGTGGTGGGCTTGGGGATGATCATGACGATGGCAGTGAAGAGCTGCCAGGGCCAGGTGAGGTGGTGCTCGCACTCGTTGAAGAGGTATACCACCGCTTGTCTTCCAGCGCGTGGTAGGCGTCGAATGTCGCTGATGCAGATCATGTATACACCATTATCCTTGTCGGGCTCTCCTTCAATATTCTTGTCTAGGTCTTCGAGCGTCCAGGGCTCGTACTCTTCCTCCTCTGCGGCCTTGGCGCGGAGGGCGGGAGGAGGAGGAGGAGGAGGAGGAGGGGGAGGGAGGGGGGGAGGAGGAGGAGGAGGAGGAGGAGGAGGAGGAGGAGGAGGAGGAGGAGGAGGAGGAGGAGAGGGAGGAAGGAGGAGGAGGAGGAGGAGGAGGAGGAGGAGGAAAGGAGGAGTAGGAGGGAGGGGGAGGAGGGGGGAGATAGAGGAGAAGGAAGAGGAGGAGGAAGGAGGAGGGGGATAGGGAGGAGAAGGATGGGGAGGAGATAGGGAGGAGGAGGAGGAGAGGAGAAGGAGGAGGAGGAGGAGGAGGAGGAGGGAGAGGAGGGGGAGGATGGAGGAGGTGGGAGGAGGAGGGAGGAGAAGGGAGGAGGAGCGGCTACGACGACGACAACGACGACGCCGACGACGCCGACGAAGACGACGCCGAAGCCGACGCCGACGACAATACCTGTGCACCTTCGAGGGCCTCCTGGCCACGTCGGTCGTCCTCCTCATCCTCTCCTCCTCCTCCCCCTCCTCTCCCCCCTTCCTCCTCCTCCCTTCCTCCTCCTCATCCTCCTCCCTCCCTCCTCCTCCTCCCTCCTCTCCTCCTCCTCCTCCTCCTCCTCCTCCTCCTCCTCCTCCTCCTCCTCTCCTTACCTCCTCCTCCTCCTCCTCCTCCTCCTCGATGGGATTCCTAAGTCCGATGGGCAGGGATTCACGCTTGCGGCCCGTTCCCAGGCGTTATCGCTACTTGGGGCAGGGGTCTGGGGGGTAACACGCGTTACCCTTTGAGCCTATGAAAGAACAATCCCGCGCCGAGCGGAGACGACCTCAAATTCTGAGAGTGGGGGCTTGAGACACTGGCAGTTCGAAATCGGTCCCCTTCCCCTCCTGGGGTCCAATCGCACCCATTGTCCGTGCTGCGTCTAGCCGTGGCGACAGGGGGGCCCCCGAAGGCCAACTACTGGTGCCTCACACGGCCCTCCGCTGATCCCAGGTCGATGGCGATGTTATGATAGGATTGTCTCAGGATGCGTTGCAAGGTCTCCAGCGTATCCAGCGGCCCTCGCTTCTGCGGCTCGTGTGGAAGGTCGGGGGATCTGGGAAGTCCTGGACCCTACTATTATCCGGTGGCCAGCTCGGGGGGGGGGAATGAGAAGGGGCGGGCCTTCTCAGAAGGCTCGAGGTCCCCCGGCTTCGTGGAAAGTTGTCGAAGCCTTCCCCGAAGACGCGCAACACTTCTCAGAAGGCTGGAGGGCTTCTGAGAAGTCCCGCCGCCTTCTGGGAAGACCTTTCCTTCTCGTGTCCCCCCCTCGCTCGCCGCCGAATGATCATGACCTCTCGCTCCTCTGACTCTCCTTCCCGAGACTCGCCATCTGGACCTCGGCCTTTGGTGCGCTCCGGCGAGAAGCCCAGAAACCGGCCGCAACGACCAGAGGCCCCCCAGGCGCAGGGGGGGCGATAAGACGACCCCGAACGCTTCACACCGGGCTGTCGCCCCTCGATCCCCGAAGGCCTTGCTCGTCGAAGCTCGAGGCCTTCGAAGATCGCGGACTTCGGGGCCCGAGGCCCCGGAGGCCTTCGAGGACTTCGAGGCCCTCGAGAGGACTTCGAGGCCCTCGAGGACTTCGAGGACTTCGAGGACTTCATGGACTTCGAGGCCCTCGAGGCCCTCGAGGCCCTCGAGGCCCTCGAGGACTTCGAGGACATCGAGGACTTCGAGGTCGATCCTCGAAGTCCGCTTGGCAACGAGCGAGCGGCGGCGCCGCTCCCGTGATCGGCGCCTCGGCCTCCAGCGCCTCGAGCCGCGCGGCGGAGCCCCGCGCGCTGGCCGCGGAGGCCTGTCTGTGGGCGCGCCGCCAACCGCTCCGCCGCGGCCACCGCCGCCCGAGGCCAGCGTCATCGTCGAGGCCGAATGCGTCGTCGTCGTCGTCGTCCTTCTCGTCGTCATCGTCCTTTTCGTCGTCGTCGTCGCTGTCGTCGCTGTCGTCGTCGTCGCGGTCGTCTGCGCTGCCGCTGCCGTCGGCCTCGCCGCCGTGGCTGTCGTCCAGGCCAGCTTCGCCGAGGCCAGCTGTAGGATGCGCTAAGCATGCGCTGCGGTCGATTGCGCTGGGGGGCCCCAGTGGGACGCATGAGGACCTACCAGTACTGCGTGCTGATGCCGAAAGCGCACGTCTGACACGAACATACCCAGCCAACCAACCCTACAGTATAACGATGCCCAGGCGGTATGGGCAGAAAGCAACCGCCAGTGCTAGACGATTCCTGGGCGTGCGCGCCGCCCTTGCGGGGCCGAAGAGCAGCTAGTGTAGGTACGTTTGGAGGGCGCCGACCAAGCCCTGGCGCGCTCAGGTGCGAACGCAACCTCACGCTGCGTGCGCCACGCGAGGTTGTGCCCGTTCCCAAAGAAAGGTTGCTCGGCCCCACTGGGGCAGCACCAAGGGTCGCTCGGGTATCTCTTGCGCGCAGCCGAGGTCAAGACGGTGTCGGCGAGGCCCGCATCCGACGTGCTGGGAACGAACTCAGGGCGGAGGCTCTTCGCCCACTTCGGCCTCTGGGGGCCGTTGCTGGGCTCCGGGCCGTCCGTTAAGAGGAAGCACCGGATGAGAGGTTGCGTAATCATCGCTGTCGTCGCTTTCGCCGTCGCCTCTGGTCGGTCGTGGTCGTGTTCGTGGTCGTGTCGTGGTCGTTGCCGACGCCGTCGCCGTCGCCGAAGTCGCCGAAGTCACCGTCGTCGAGGCGTCGCCGTCGCCATCGTCATCGCTGTCGTCGTCGTCGCCGCCGCCGCCGTCGCCGTCGCCGTCGCCGTCGCCACCTCCGTCGTCGTCGTCGTCGTCGTCGTCGTCGTCGTCGTCGTCGTCGTCGTCGTCGTCGTAATCGTCGTCATCGTCGTCTTCGTCGTCGTCGTCATCGTCATTTCCGACGCTGTCGTCGTCATTGCCAACGCTGTCGCCGTCTGTGAGATCGTCGCGGAACGCCAGTAGAGGATCGAAGCGGATTTGTCCGCTGGGGGCCTCCGAGGGCCTTCAGACCCTCGGGGGCCACCACTGGAGACGACCAGGGACCTCTGGAGGTCGCCGTCGTCGTCGACGACGTGATCGAGGTCGTCGTTGTCCTCGCCCTCTACGTCGTTGTCGCTTTCTTCGTCGTCGTCGTCGTAGCCGCTGGCGTCGTCGCCGCCGCCATGATCAGCATCATGTTTCTCCTCTTCCTCCGAAGATGGAGAAAGAGGCGGCCCAGTGCTCCCTCCACTTCCTCCATCCCTCGTCCACGTAGAGAGATCCTCCCTGTCGCGCCACTAGACGGCTGGCTGCGGCGGGCTTAAGCGTTTAGCCTGAAACCTCCTCACCGCTCACGACCTGGAGGATTGAGATGCTTACGTTTGGCAAAGCCTGCGGGCACAGTGGGTCGCGCAAGGCCCTGCGCGGCCGCGCACCCACGGCCGGCTGGTCAGTCATCCCCGTCGGGGCCGCGAAGCGCGTCCGCAGCCCAGGCGTCGCAGCCTGCATCGGCATTTGCGTCCCTGTCCGCAGCCATCAAACCCTTCCACCCCATCCACTGCCGCAGCGAGTCTTGGGGATTGGAATGCCCAGCGGTTGCACAGATGGGGGGCCTGTTTTCCAGATAGAGGTCTCGCCCTAGCGCCGCGTAAACTCCTTTTGAACAAGCCCAGCAGTTAGAAGGCTGGAAGGCGCATCGCCTCCATAGTGGGAATGTCGCCTTGGCGTCGCAGACGCTCGTCGTGAAGAACAGCAGCTGCACGCAACGAAGGCATACCGCTATCAGAATGGGGCTCTCGCCTTGGCGCCGCGCGCGCTCGTTGAAACCACACGGAGGGTGGCGCAGTTCCCAAACTAAGCTCTCGCCGGAGACTTCCTTACCTCAAGCATGAAACTGCGCAACGGATACACGGATGGATGTCAGTTCCTTCTCAAGATGATGTTCTCGCTCGAGACTTCGTGGCAACTACTTTGGAACTTTGTGACCCCACTCTGCCACATTTCTTATCCGCCACCGTGCCTGCACGGAGTGGGCGTGTTAGATTGCTTGTCTGCTACCTGGGAAGTTTTGCGTTTTATAGGGCCGGCCCCCTGCATCGCGCGCGATCCGCTGAGATCGCCTCCCCTAAAATTGCTCCTCGGCGCTCCTCTCAGCCTCCAGACCGATTCTGGGTCGCCGGCTGCGTCCAGCGCTGACCTCTGGCGGCGGGGTCGCCGCCTGTCGACACGACGCGAACCTACCGCAGTTAGAGGCCTCCTAATTAGATGGGGTCCGAGTAGATGGGGTCGGAGGATCGCGCTGCATCGCCGATGCATCGGCGACGTCGACGTGAAGCAAGTCAGGCTGCACATCGAGCCGCATCGGCGGTGCATCGGCGATGCGGCGTAATCCCCCGACCACATCTACTCCGATCCCATTTAGGAGGCCTAGAGTAGTGGGCTTGAGGAGGTCCCCGCGAGTCCAGCGGCGCTGGGCCACCTGCTCCTGGGCTGCCCTTCTTCCCCCTCCTCCTCCTCCCCCTCCTCCTCCTCCTCCTCCTCCTCCTCCTCCTCCTCCTCCTCCTCCTCCTACAACCTCCTCCTCCTCCTCCTCCTCCTCCTCGTCCTGCTCCCCGTGGGGCCCCAGCACCACGCCGTGGCCTTCCTCCCGGAGGTCTGAGGCGGGTCTGCCCAACCCCTGGCCGCCCGCTGCCTGTCCTCGGGCGGCAGCGCTCGGCCTGACTCCCCTCGTCTTCCTCCCTCCTCCCCTTCCTGCTTCGCTCCCCGCGCTCGTGATCATCTGGCTCCTCGTCCTCTTCCTGCGCCCTCGTCCTGCCTCCTTCTCCCTCGGCGTCGTCCTCCTCCGCCCCTCGCCCCCGCCTCCCCGACATAGCCAGGGGAGGCGGCGGAGGAACGAGCGAGGGGGGAAGCTGAGGCGGAGAAATCTTTACTCAGGAGGAGGGGAAGAGGAGGATAAATAAGGAGGACTATTTCCGTCGGCGGAGGGAGGAGGAGGAAAAAGAGGGGGATGAGTATTCACTTAGGAGGGGGGGAGGGGGGGGATTCCTTTCAAGGAAAAAACAAAATGAGGGGCGAGGAACAGGAAGGGCAAGCGGATAGGGTAGGGTCCGGTACAGTGTTGCTTTCTGACACTCTCGGGGCCCGTGTAGGGCCCCGGGAAGCTGAAAACGGCGAAAACCCTCCTGACCCGACCCGTTTCCCCAGAACAGACAGAAGTCCTCCATGGAGAACAACGGGAGGGATGAGGACCTCCCCCTGGAAGAGCGGGCACGGGGACGTCAAGGACACAAAGACGGGGAGGACGACGACGCCGCGGACGACGGCGGTGGCGGCGGCAGCGGCGACAGAGGCGACAACGGCAGTGGCGGCGACAGCTCCGACGACGGCGGCGCCCCAGAGCCCCGACACCATGATCTTCTTCAACGTGGGCCCCCAGAGGTCCAGACCTCCACCCCTGGGACGTGTCATCCTCCTCCCGACCGAGCCGCCTTCTGACTGCCCTGGGCCTGGCGAGGGACCCCAGAGACCGGCGGATGCCAGAAAATTCCCTTCGTGGTTCTCTTGCACGACGCGAGAGAGGGGGGGCCTGGGGACGACGATGGACACGGCGACGGCGACTGCGGCGACGGCGGCGACGGCGGCGGCGGCGCCAGTGACAACTGGGGGGACCAGAAGGTACCGGTACCGCTGCTACTCGGACCTCGCTTCGGGTGCGTTCTGACGAGAACTTCGAGAAGAATACAGCCATGGAGTCGAGGGCCTGCCAGGAGGCCCAAGAAGGTGAAAACGATGGAAGAGTAGCAGCATCGGTGCCCATGGTCCCCAGTGTACGAACGGCCACGGACGACGGGAGTAGAGGATGCCGTTTTGTCCTTCGGCGATAGGCCCCCGATAGCGAATCCGCATGTTCCTGGGCGGGGTCGGCCATCGGGCCTCAATCGGCGATCAATGGGCGATTGGGGGGCGATGCATTCCCCCTTGAACCTACCCTCTTCAGGCGTCATCCCTGAAAAAAAAAGGCGACAAGGGAGCTGTAGCGGTATCGGTCTTTGTCCCTCGCCTGGGAATCAAAGGCCGGACGACGGGCGTAGAGGGACAACACACTTCCATAAACATATACTCTTAGATCGGCCGTGGAACCCCCTTCCTGGCGCCCGAAACATGCCAAGGGCGGCGCTGGCGCCGCCAAAAGGAGGCCCAACGCCGAAGAACAAAATCCGCGCCAACTCCGACACATTCTGTACGTCGTGATTGTTCATCGGCGGTACATCCCCGATGGATCGGCAATCTGCCCCTGGAAACGAAACCGCACGTTTTCTCAGGCTGGGTGAGCTGTCGTGACCTTGTCGGCGATCGGTGGGCACTTGGAAGTCGATGTATCTCCCCTTTGAACCGATCCCCTTTTCCAGTAGGTGGGCGGTTGAGGGATACCGCGAACATCGATCCCTGGAAAACACGGTGTACCTGTGAGGTGATCTTCCCTGCGAAGGCCCCCTCTGTGTGCCATCCCCCTTTGCCAGGGCGTTCACTGCACGCCATCCCCAAGGAAGGGGGTAACGTGTCGTGAACAGGCCAGCGGTGCTACACGGCATGCTATTTTTGCAGCGCCAATCGTACCCGTCGGTCGAAGGAAAAAGGTGGAAACATGACGTGGGAAGGCGTTGAAAATAGATTGGGTGCCCGCCGGCCCCCATAAGAGGAAGGACGAGGGGAAGCCACTCGATCATAACAGTAAGTTGGAATTTGGGACTCGAGAAGTACCTCCGTTCAACGACCGATGGGTAACGTTGCCTCGGTTTGACGCGATAACATAACAAACGAGGAGCATCGGTACCGGTACCCGTTCCTCCCTTGGGTGTGAACGGCCACGGACGGCGACGACGACTGCGGCGACGGCGGCAACGACGGTGCCGACGGTGACACCTGCGGGGGCCAAGGGGTACCGATAGCACTGCGCTTCGGACCTCTCCTCGGGTGCATTCCGACCAAAACTTCGAGGAGCATCGAGCCATTGCGACCAAAGCCTCCCAGGAGGCTCGAGAAAATGAAAACGGGGAGCGGCAGTGGCGTCGGTACCCACGAAGCCCCTCGGCGAGGCACCGCTGCTGGAAAGCATCCCGAAACTGCAAAACTGCCGAGAACCGATGGACACAGTCGAAAACTTCGAACCTCGACCGTAGCGGGGGCGGGCAACAGTATCGGCAGGCGGCGACATCCGGACCCTACCCCCGCCACCCTTCGACTCTCCTGGGCCGACGGGGGGTGGGGGTGGCGTTCGAAATCCGCCACGTGCGCGACGAATCGGCGACGGTGGGGTTCGGATTTCGCCGCCGACTCGGCCACGGACGGCAAGCGGCAATTGCGGCGACGGCGGCGGCGCTGCCGGCGACAACTGGAGGGGCCAAAAGGTACCGATACCGCTGCCATGGACGGCCAAGAAATCGAGGTTTGGAGACCGCTGTTCGGTACCAGAACGTCCCCCCAGTCGGTGTGAGCGCGCTCTCCGCTCGTCGAACACTCCGAACGCTTTCCGCAAGGACGCGGGCGGCCCGGGCTCGAGAAACTCGCGCAGGGGGGCTGCAGGATCAGCATGTCCCGCACGCGCGCGGCGCGGGAGAACATGACGTAAGGGTACAGCCACAACTGCTCGTCCGACATGCCCGCGCGGCCAGCGTCCTCATTTCAGGCGCATTCGATGGTGACGCCCTTGCGCAGCGTCTGACCCTGCGAGGCGCGGCAAGCGAGCGAAGGAAGGCAGCGCCTCGGAAGCCCGCGCTACGAACGCGGCCAGCGCTGGCGGCCACTCCGCCGCTCCGCGGGGCTTCCAGCCAGCCCCGGCGGCTGCGGGGCCGAGGGCCTCTGCGAGCGGGCCCCCTCCCGCGGCCTCGCCGTCGTCGTCGTCGTCGTCGTCGTCGTCGTCGTCGTCGTCGTCGTCGTCGTCGTCCTCGTCGCCGTCGCCGTCGCCGTCGCCGTCGCCGTCGCCGTCGCCGGCGGCTGCGGTGGCTGCGGCGGCTGCGGCGGCTGCGGCGGCGGCGTTGGGGTCGGCGTCGGCGTCGGCGTTGGCGTCGCTGTCGGCGTCGCCTTCTCTCCCTCCTCGCATCCCGCACCCTCAGACCCTCATGGGAGGCCCCCGTGGGAACGCTCAAGGCCTGGGTCCACTACAAGGAGGGTGACGATGAGGGGAGCATGAATTCTACCCGTTGGAGCACCCAACTGCCGCAAACAGATGCCCCCTGCATGCACCACCTTTCAGCAACTATCGAGAGCTGCTGGCGGCTGGGGGGCATCTGTTTTGGACGGTTCGGTGCAAAAACCCATCGAATTCACACACACACACACCAAGGCACACACACCCTTTGCGGGGTCCCGACAAAGGGGCCAATAGTAACGGAGCAGAGAGAAGGGACCTGGAACGGCAAAAGCAGAACTTCTCGGAGGTCCGCGCGGCTTTCTGGGATCTGCGCTGGACTTCATCCCTGGCACGCGGAGCGTGCCAGGGGCAGAACCGGAAGCGCCACCAGGAGGGGCCCAACGCCGATCAAAGAAATCCGCGCGGCCCTCCCACAAAGTATGGTTACGCAGCTGTTCTTCTTCGACTTGAGCCAGATCCACATGCCATTGAGTCAGACTAGGCCAGATTCGCCCCAGGACTTGGTCCGATCGAGCGGGGCCAAGCCCAATCCGCGGGATGATGCCAGACTACTGCAGGTCCGTGCCGTGTCGACCCTGGCGTTGGTTCCTGACACCGCGCTGGATCGTTCAACCTTGAACGATCGGCCGTCTCCGCAACGTCCGATCGTTCAACATCGACCGATTCTGGGCCGCCCTCGGCGTTCAACGTTGAACGTCGGCGGCAGGGTCGCCGCCGGTCGACACGACGCGAACCTACCGTAGGCCGGTGTTCGACCACGGGCGTGCCAGCGCTGATGCTCGATTCCACGTTCCAGGAGTGGCCTCCCGACAAAGGAGGGTGGAGCGAGGGCAAGCGGCCTGTCGATAAGGCAGCGGGGGCCTTCTTGGCAAGCGGGCGCCCTCGCAACGAAGGATTGCAACGAAGGATTGCAAAAAAAACCTCGAAGGATTGCAAAAAAACCCTCGAAGGGTTTTTTTGCAATCCTTCGTTCGAAGGGTTTTTTTGCAATCCTTCGTTCAAGGGTTTTTTTGCAATCCTTCGGCCCAGAGCGTTCCGCGAAGGCCTCCAGAAGCACGGGGGGGGATTCGCAGAAGCCCCCCCCCCCCTTCTCAGAAGCTTCCCCGCCTTCTAAGGAAGCAGCCCCCCTCGCGCTACCCCCTCGCGTGCGCGCCGCCGCCGGCCCCTGCAGGTCGCCGTCGTCACCGTGGTCGACGACAGTGGCGCCGTCGATGACATCTCGTGGGTGTCTGGGAGGCCTGGCTTCGTCGCGGGCTCCGGTGAGCGGGGTAACTGGCTGCGGCTCGGGTCGCTCGTGCTCCCGCTGCTGCCTCTGGTGCTTGCCTTCGGCTCTGCAGTCGCGCTCGCGTCCGTCAGTGCTGCCGGAAAAAAGGCTGCTTGCCCTCACACCCTTCCCCTCAGCCCGCCAAGCCATGCACTTCGCTCACAGGATGCCCCGAACAGTCATACGGTCCACCCATATAGTAAGGATGCGCGGTAAGGATTCAAGGGCCTTGGACGCCCATGCCGAGGCTCCTCGAGAGGGGCTGGCCATCGAAAGCGGGAGAAGATGGACCGAAGATGACCAAAGAGGCACGGACGTAAGGGTCAGCTTTACTATCAGGGTTGACTGCATTCATCGGCGATGCATCGGCCATGCATCGGCGATGCATCGGCGATGCATCGGCGTCCATCTACTCGGACTCCATTCTGGGAGGCCTAGACCTCCACCCTTCCCGTCCGCCCACCCAGACATGCAACCCCGCTCGCGGGAACCCCTGAACAGTCATACCCATCGGTCGGACGAAGTAGGCAAAAATATTAAGTAGGAAGGCGTTGAAGAGATATTGGACTCCGCCCGCCCCCCAAGGAGGACGGAAAAGGTGAAGCCACTCGATCATTGAAGTAGGAAGGCGCTTATAAAGTAGACTGGAACATGGGACTCTGAAACCGCCTACTTTCAAAGACCGATGGGCAGCTGGGTCTCTCGAGATCCCACCCAGCCATGTGGGCGTAGGTGGTGCACAGTCGAAGCATGGTGGCGAGAGCGCTGCTCGAGAGCGCGAGCCACCCTGCCGAGGGTCCAGGACCACTGTGGAGATGCCAAACACGGAGGACACTCCAAGGAGGAGGAGGAGGAGGAGCAGGGAGGAGGAGGAGGAGGAGGAGGAGGAGGAGGAGGAAGACGAGGAGGAGGATGGGAAGGAGGATGGCAAGGAGGGTGCCCCTCCAAACGTAGGACTGTTCTTAGCCCTCGTGCCCACTGTGGCGATATGGCTGTTCCAACTTCCCTCCCCCACGTGGGGCAGAAGTTTACGTCTCACCCTGCTCACCGCTCTGCAGGGTCTTGACCAGCCCTGTCAGTCAGCGGGTCGTGGGAGGGCCCGAAAAGGCCCCGACAGGGCCCCAGATAGCCCAAGATGGCCTTCAAGATCGCACAAAGTAGCGCAAGATGGCTCGATTTAGCTTCCAACATGACTCCAAAAGGTGCCATGACCGTCCGAAGACGGCTCCGGGTGGCCACGGAGCCTGTCAAGGACGCCACCGAGAAGTCAAAATCCCACCTGAACCTTCAGAAGCCCGATGAGTTGTGCCTTCTTCCCTTCTCGCTTCCAATGCGCTCTTGCGGCCTCAAGATGGCTCCAAGATGGCCCAAAGGGGGCCCGGGAGGAGCCCGAGTGGAGTCCATGAGCGCCAAAAGAGCGCCCCAACAGGGCCGAAATCGATGGCCTCCACGACGGTCCCGAGAAGGCCCCAAGAAGGCTGGCCCCTAGATAACCCTGAGAGGTCCCCAAGACAGCTCCAAAGGCCTCCAAAATGGCCCCAATACGGCCCCAAGATAAGGCCCCACTAATGCCCGAGGATGCCTCCAAGATACTTCCAAAGCGTGACTCCATGCTGCAAATTACTCATCACTGTTCAAGGTAGCTCGCTTTTGGATGGGCAGGTGGGGATTCGCGAAGCGTCAAGAAATGTTGTCGGAACGCGCCCACGGAAAGGTCTGGGGGTCGTTGTCGTCGTCGAAAACGTCGTCGTGCTCGCTCTCGTCCTCGCGTCCTTGCTCTAGCCATCATCGCCCATTCCCTTCAAGGAGGGGGATGAAAAAAGGGATGAGGTGGTCCCTATCTACGTAGTCGCCGCCGCCGTCGTCCCCGTCCTTCTCGTCGACCTCGACACTCGGCCACACGCAAGAGTGACCATGGGTAAAAGTGACCTGACCTTTGGTGCGCGGCTCTTTGGGGGCCGCCTGAAGGGGGGGCGTCAAACACAAGCGCGCAAGACGCCACTGCCGCCGCGCGTTCGGCGATCGGGGGACGCCACCGGGCCCGCACCAAAGTCCGTCTTACGTGTAGTCGAGACGGTCACCCTCGTCCAGACTTCGTCGACTCCGCGTCGGGTCCTCCACTGGAGGAGGGAAGGGAGGAGCAAATCATCCTGTTCGTAGTCCTTCTCAAGTCTTTGTCTTCATCCTCGCCACCGACGAAACTGCTGAAGACATCGATCCCGATCAACCCAGCGAACCAGGCCCACAGCAAAACTCCCAGGGCTCGCAGCGCGCTAGGAACTGGTCTCCTGAACATCGGGAGGCAGGACTGCTACGAGCGTTCGTCACTGGTGGCATGTGGACGCCCGCGCGCCTCCATCAGCTCGGGTACGCGGACGATGCCCAGTGTCGACTGTGTGCAAACAATTCCTGCACTATGCACCACATCTTGTGGGAATGTCCTGCACTTGATGCCGTCCGTCGTGAACAGACGTCTCGGTGATAGACCGCAGAGGGTTCCCTACATGTGAAACTGGGTCTTGGTTTGGGGGTCGTGGACTTATCGGGCGGTCATGTTTTCCTGAACTACCTGATAGAGACAACTCGTGGAGGTGGCATGTCCTTTATGGAAGTCCAGAGGGAATCTCGGGCAGGATCTATACAGATGGAGCGTGCCCCCGTAGTTGGTATTGGCCAGAGTCTGCCAGAGCAGGGTGAGGTTTCGCTCAGCTATCGGAACGAAGAGATGGAGGCATCAAATGTGCTGTGTATGTGGCACTACCTGGTGTCGTCCAGTCCTCACCGAGAGCTGAAATGCACGCCGCCCTCCAAGCCCTTCATAGCCTGTGTCCCTCCAGCTACTATAATAACCGACTTTCAGGGGCTCCCCGATGGGCTTGACAAAGGCCCTAGTTGGTGTTTAACCCCCCGCCAGAGCAATCTTGACCTTTGGGAGGCCATCTGGGGCAAGATCGAAGACCTCGGGGGCCTCCACACTGGCGTGTCGTTTGAACTCTGCAGGGGTCACCAGCGCGGCGCGAGCGAGGCAGCTAGAGGCAATCGCTGGGCCGACCTTGCGGCCACCTCGGGGCGCGATCCTCACTGTGCGTCGCGCCCTGCTCGGCAGGCCATGGCTACTGCTCACACGCACTATGTGTCCAGCCTTCGCTGGATGGCGAAGGCTTTGTCCCTGTATGGGGAGGCGGGTAGGGTCTCCACTTGTCCTCGTGTGAAGCGGAGACGCCGCCGCTCCCCTGCCCCTGGATTGGAAACCAGTGTTGAAGTGCCTGACCATTTGCGGCACGTCTTCCAGAGGATCCCAGGACGGAGTATATACAGGTGCGCCTTCTGTAAGTGTGGGGCCAAGACCATCGATAGAGTTCGTCGTCTCTCCTCTCTCTCCTGCCCTGCTCGCCTGCGGGCTTCGGAGGGTACGCTCGGACTCGTGGCATCGCAGCTTCCGCACTCGCAGGGTCACGGTCGCGTCTCGGCCCCGTCTGATGCCATACAGCAGCAGGCTGCCGAGCCATCTCCTGCGGTCTCCCCGTCGCCTTGCGAACGGGAAGCTGTGGTTAATGTGCTCAGCGGCCCAGCTGCTGATGGCGATGGCGGCCTTTCCCCCCCGCGCGAGGAGGCTGTTATCCCTGAGAGGAGCGCGAGTAGTCTCCCTGCTGGTGCCCCTCGCCCGTTTGTCGACGTCGATGTGTCGGACTTGCGTCGGTCGACGTGTCATCCTCGCTCGTCTAGCTCGTCTGACGATGGTCGCAGTGTGCGGATGCGTCACCTTTGACCCCGTGACTATGGTCCGGTCGCCTGCCCAGGAGCAGCAGGATCGTGCCGTCCAGGAAGTCGAGGATGGACGCTCCTCCTTGCCCGCGGCGAAGCGCCCAAGGCAAGGCAGACGAAACCCCAGGCCCTCCCTGAGCGCGACCACGGTACCTGTGGCCCCCATGCCGCCTTGCGGCATCGTGCCGCCTGAAGCGGCGCGAGGGCACAGGTGCTGGGTTGCGCCAGGGGATGTGGTCCTGTGTATAAGATGTGGTTTCTACACCACTGGTGTGGCGAGCCACCTCCTTGTCGATTGCTGCCCGCCTGAATTCCATCAGATGTCAGATAGGGCGGCTCGCAACACGACTTTATGTTTGAGAGGTCGGCACCCTGCTGACGAGGGGAGGCCTGGAAGTCGGGCCCTCCGAACCCCCAGGTCCCTGCAGGCCTCCGACCCTGAAACGCTCTGGTTACGGTTACGGCCTATGGAGGCCCAGCCTTGCCCTGCGTTCCTGGCGCTTTCTCGCCACGCCCGCTTTGGGGCTGTGCCTGTGTGCCCGCTCCGTGATCTCCTGGGTGGGGGCGGAGACGTTTTCTGCTGGCATGAGGGGCATCCTTCGCCCCAGTCTGACGCGCTCACCCAGCTCTAGCTTGACCTGCGCGGTGACCGCCAAGGCAGTGCGTTATTCACCTCCCCCTCCTGTTCCTCCTCCTCCTCCCTCCTCCT